AAGAATCTGAAGCAGAAGCCAGAAGCATCTGAAGCATTAAAGACTTTTGTATGAAGAGTGTCAAGCTTACTTTATTTCATAAGACTCTGATAGTACTACGCTTCCAGTACTAAGGATCTGATCCCAAACTCTGCTCTGATCAATTACACGCTAAAAGCACACATGCTGCAAAGACTCTGATTCAGCAAACTCTGATGAACATTAGAAGACTCTGACCAATCTAGACTCTAATGATATTTGCTGAAACTTGTTGAAGAAGAATTCAAACTTATGTCCGTTGGAATGGCCAAACGACTCTTTCCTCATTTATGCTAGACACAAGAACACAGACAAAAAGGATTTCTCTGTGCATTCTATTTCTAGGAAAGGTCATGTGATGTAAAGACAAAAAGGCTCAGACCTTTTAGTACACAACCTTCAACGTGATAGGTACTTGGACTTCTTTGCCTATAAAAGAAAGACTCCATCACTCCTCTTCAGTTGACGAAACATTGAAAGAAATTCAAAGAAATCTCTCATACAATTTATTCTCATTTGCTGAATTTATTTCATAGTTCTTAAATCTTAAGTGTAAAATCACAGTTGTGATAAAGCTTTATTAGAATCAATTTAAACACTTGTATTATTCTTACATTTGATTGTAAAAGTCCTTAAGAAGATCCAGTTGGGATCAATAGTTCTTGAGAAGACTAAGAACAGTTGTTCTTAGTGCTTGCTATTGTAATCAGTTGATTAAATAGTGGATTAAGTCCTTGTTTGAGAAAGGCAAATCACTCTTGATAGGGTGGACTGGACTAGTTGAGTTCAACGAACCAGGATAAAAATCCTTGAGTTTTTATTGCTAAGTTTTTGTATATACTTATTCAACCCCCCTTCTAAGTATGTTCTCACCTTCACCTGTAACATGCTGACACGACATTGAGACTATAGAAATAAAGACAGCATGACACCTTCACATAAACTTGGGTATCATAACCTATAATGAAGTAAGAAAATATAGACTTGCTAGCTACATCATTTAAGGGGAGAAAACAAAGAATGATAAAGACCATATCATGAAGATATACACTTTCTGGCTACAACAATTAAGGGGTGAAAACAAAGAATGATAAAGGGGCGTGGTATGCAACAAGGAAAATAGATGACTATCATGTACTTGCTCTCACTCTGCTTGTCACTTACTTTGGCATCGGAGTGTGTTTCAGGTACACCCCTCTCCTCTTCCATACCTTCGATGGACAGCTAGCAGATCAACGAGGCGTGGCAGGTCACTAATTCCCTTCTGGTCAGGTAAGATCAAATTTTATGTTATGTGTTTGGTATTATGTATGTATACTATGATTTTGGATATTTTCCAATCAATAATATTTGATATTCAGTAGTTTACATTTTGTACAATAAAATTATTGAATGATTTCACTAAAGTAAAGTATGACCAGTTGAAAATCGACATATAGAGACCAACTTTATGTGATTTTCATGCTACACATTTCATGATGGATCTATGTCATTTAGTTATGTCACTATCGATGATCATTGATGAGTTTAGTTATGATTGATATAATGAAAATTACCTTAATTATGTATATTGACATGACTAATGGACGGGATACTTTGGATATGCTTAAAGAATATAATGGCAAATTTTGAGCTCATAAAGTCTAATACATGTATAAAGTTACATACGTGAGCGATGGAAGATTGTTAGAATTTTAGGTCACAAATGTAACATTTAAGGTGTTAGTGCCATTATTTTAATTAGTCAAGACTTAAAGGGTTCTAATTAATATGATATTAAGTTTGTGGCTAAAAGCATAAATATCATGAAAGGTAAGGTTATTGTGTAGATACTGTAAGTCAATATCTAATTTGATGAGGGGGCAAATTAAAATATTGAAAACTAAAAAATAACCCTAGGGTCTTTTAAATGGGTTATGGTCCCCGTTTGTAGAGAACAAAAAAAATAAGGTTTATCAAATTTTCTCTCTTCATCCCCATCAAAGGAGATTCAAGGAACCCTAAGAAACTCTACAAATCAGAAGATCACATACCCGAAACCTTCAACAATTTCAATGACAAATTCAGGTGCGATTCTGCCTGTATTATCTAATTGAATATGGTATGAATTTAAGGGTTTAGAGTTTTGTTGTTGATTTCTATATTGGTAGAAATCATAAGGTTATGAACAGATCTAACATCGACTTCTCTATTTAACAACAACCAGACATGGCATAAATAATAGTTCAACAATACTGTTAATATATGATTAACTCTAATGCCAGTCACTTAAAAAAATACAATCATATTCCCCCCGTCCCAGAGAGTAATATTTTTTAGATATATAAAAGAATCTTGTTATGATGGATTAATATACCAATCTTCCTCACCTATCTATTTCTGGCTCGAACTAGGCTACTTGCATTGACTCTAGAAAATGTTTCACTATTTTATCCATCTTTTTAGGTGATCCCCTCGTGAAAATTAAAGAAATTTATTGTGGTTAATTCTCAGAGCTTATGTAACCTGCACTTGTTGGCATTATATATTAGAGGTGTTTATTGATTCGAGTAAAATCTGAATCAATCGGAATTTAAATTAACCCGTAGTGTTTGATTCAAATATTTTTTTAGTTTGGGTAAAACTGAACTAAACCAATAAAATTCGATGTTAATTGATTGGGCATCGAATTTTTAAAATTCTACTCGCGAGTCCGTCTATACGAACCAACCATATTAGTTCATATTATTTATATCATTATAATAAAAACAAGTATAAGATAATCAATTTATAAAAAAAATGAAACATCATTTATAACATTCACAATTTATATGAAAATATAAAAATAAAAAAATATATATATTATTATAGAAAATTAGTTGATGTAAGTTAGAAAATTTTAAAAATATTTTTGCATTTTATTTCTAATGTATCCGATTAATCCAACTCAAATTAACATATTATTTCTCGGTTTGGTTTGGTTCGAATTTATAGAAAAAATGTAACAATTCAATCTAAACTAATCCATATATTACTGATCGGTTTCCGAATCAAACCGGCCCGCAAACACCCGTAGCATGTATGAAATGAAATGATCTACTTATATGCTCAACAATTTCTATGCCTCTTGCCCAAAACTAATCTCCATCGCTGCCCCCTAATAATTTTACCACAATCTGCACTTCCTCCTTACAAGCTCCGTCAGAATTTAATTTAACTCAACCTATAGGAGGCAGCTTCCAACTAACAATCTAACAATATTATTTGAGATTAGTGTCATGTTTCTGTAATCTCTAGCAAGCTTTGCCACATGCGTAGTCAGATGAGTTGGTCTCCTGAATCCCAAATACAATGACAAGCTATAGTCCAAAAATCCTTCCACTCTCCTCCAATATGCTCATATTGACATTAAGCCATTGCTGTAAGTCTCCAGAAAAGGAAGAAGTTATCAAATTAATATGCATAGCAAACAATCAAAGAGACATCAGCAACGGACAATCTTTAAATACATGCAGTGTGTCCTCTAATATACTTCCACGGTAACTACACAGAGAATTTTCAATAACCATTCGACTGTTGTTCAAATTGGTAAGCAACCTGTAATAGAACAACATGCTTACAAAACAACGAATCTGTTCTGACACCTTAAGCCTCCATATTTGCTTCCAATAAGCACCTGCATCATTGCACTGAAAGTCAGCAGACAACAGGCAATTTGTACATACTAGCCCCAGGAAAATAATCGTGTCTGCTATTTGTTATTCCAGCTCTACACCTGCATGCGATTTGTCTCAAGACCAATGATCCAACAAGACCAATTCCATTCACCATTTATATTCAATATTCCTTCCGATCCAACAAGACTAATTCCATTCACCATTTATATTCAGTATTCCTTCGTTCCACACTGACTGACCTATTTAAAATAAAAGATTGTTTCAAAATGAATGATTCGTTTTAATTTTTAATGCATTTTTTAAAATTTTATCCTCTAATTAATATTATTTTTATTATTTTCAATATATGATAATCACAACTCTTCAATAAAATAAAATAAAAGAAATATTTAAATCCAACTGTCACAATCATTTAACCGTATACAATATTTTTATATTGTTGAAAAACAAATTAATTCATTACTATCAAATCATATCACTACAAGTAAGGTCAATTATTTACCTAGTCAAATAGTCAACTTTGAATTTATATCCAAAAAAATAATTTAATTTTTTAATTATATTCTTTAAAAAATTGATTATATTTCAAAATGATCAAATTAACTTAAATAAAATAAAATTATTATTCTTTATTTGCATATATTCTATTCTCTGTTCATATGAAAATATTTTCAAGTCCATTCAACTTTTTTACTAAATCAATAGTTCAATTTTTTATAATTTTTTTTGGATACATTTATACCAATACAAACCATTTAGGTATTATTATTAAATTTAAATTAAATTTGGGTGCACCCATATATTTCTGTCTGTCTTATTGCTAGAAAAAAATCAAATAATTATTTAGTTTTGGGAATAAACGGCGAATATTAATATTCCTAACTTGATATAAATTTGTGAATTATTGCGCTTCTTTGGATCCAATTCATAAATTTTCAGTTGAAAAACCAGAAACTGCATTCAGCATAGATGGATATATAAATAGGTCCATTTCTGTTGAGTGTTTTTTAGTTTCTTCTATCTCTCACATAACCAAACAAAATTTCATCTTCTTCATTTCTTCTTCCAATCCAATTTCCTGTTATTTTTCAGTTTGCACAAAACAACAAAACCTTCACAATCGTTCATTCACTTCACCACTAGCATCTATTTGTCACTAACAATCACGCTCCACAGAATTTTGGATATCTTTTTGACGAAAATCCAGGTTTGTTTTTATGGAAAATAGTATTAAATTTTTCAATCTTTTGAATTTTTAACCTAACTTGTTTTAATTATGTGTTTGATTTTTTTTTTTTGGTCAGGTTTTTGTGTTTGTTGGTCAACATGGAGATCGATGAAGCGATTAGAGGGTGTGAGGATCGAAGACTTCAGACCAAGTATAACAATGCTACTAGTGTTATTCAGAGAGCTTTGGCTTTGTATCCGTAAGTCTTTCTTGTTGTTGTCGTCGTCGATGTCGTTGTGTTAAACCGTTTCTTTGAATTAGGTTTGTGGAGTTGGATTCATTTGCTCCTTGGTCAATGGTTTGTTAGTTTAAATAGGATATAGAAATGAATGTTATGTGCTGTTTGGTTTGATTTTGTGGTTGTTTTGCAACTGGTATGATGAATTAGAGGTCAATGTGGATTGATGTTTGATTCATTTGATGAAAGTCATGAGGTTCTGTTTATTATATTCAGTTTGTTGACTTGTGAATAGTCAACGAAAGTTTTGTTCATACTTATAACTGTAATGTGTAGTGAAGAGTTGTCTGAGCATGAAGTTGCATCCACTTGGTCTGAGTTACTGGTGTAAATGTGTAATCTGGAAACTGAAAATAGCTTTGATGTGTTTGTGTAGAAAGGAGGGTATGAGGTTTTGTTAGTTGTTATGTTTTAACACGGTCCTTTTTTGAACAATGCAACAGTTCTTACAGGTTCGTAGCAACTGTTTTCGCGTTGGTGGAAGCAGAATAAGGGTATTAACTTGATTGTTTTAGGGATAAGTCCATAGATCATAAAATGGTGCTACCTACTTATTTGTGTTTTTATGCTACTTTGTATACAATAAGTCATCCTTGGGTTTACATGTAAAGGAAAAAGATTATTTTACAATTCCATTTGTGATGCAAGTTTACCAATGTATGCATTTATTAATTAATGTGTTTCGTCTTACAGTATTGAGGAGGTTGCTTTCAGTTTCAATGGCGGAAAGGATTCAACGGTGAGTTTCAGTTTGTGTAATCTTTTGTCATTCAACAGAATCTTTGAGTTCAATAATAATGACGTCAAGCTATGGCTTGTAGGTTTTGTTGCACCTACTTAGGGCTGGCTATTTCTTGCATAAAGTGGGGCAAAATAGTGCTGCTGCCAATGGAGATGTTAAGGATTTTCCTATTCGAATAATATACTTTGAAAGCCCTAGTGCTTTCCCGGAAATCAACTCATTTACCTATGACACCGCTGCTACGTGAGTGAAGTTTCTTCTTCCTTTGTGCTAACACGAAAAACTGATATTTTCCGCCCTTATTTTTATTGTCCCTGCTGTGTTTTAAAAGTTAAGGCCTGTTGTCCTTTGAAGGTGAAACAACTAATATTTTTTGTTTGAGCAGCTATGGTTTGCAAATTGACACCATCCGCTTAGATTTCAAGTCTGGTTTGGAGACTTTGCTGAAAGATAAGCCAATTCGAGCTATTTTCCTTGGAGTTCGAATGGGAGACCCTACTGCGGTATCTTTAGTTTTTAACCTTGACATACCTTTTTGCGTTTGTTTTGAAGTGTATTTTTCTCATCCGCTCTTCATTCCCCATGTTTTTGTGCATTATTGGATTTTTTTGGACAAAAGTTTATGCATGCTTGTCAAAAGCTAAGTTTTATTCGAAAGTGCTCGAGGATATGTAGATGCAAAATTTAAACGAGAGATGCAAAATTGAAGGTTTTGCATCTTACATACAAGATCATTCTATGAACCACACACATATGTAACTGTGCATACATATGTTGTGGGGTGAAAATTAAGCTCCATGCTCATCATTACTCAATAGGTTGCAATCTAGTATATATAAAATAACTATCACTTATTATCTATTACTATAGTATAAAACGGTAGCTGATACTATAATTTCCTAATGTTACTATGCTTTCTTTTATCTTATTATCTTATACTGTAAATCCACTATGAATGATACATAATCATTTATTATGTGTTAATAATATATGGAACAGTTTGTGTTTATTATATCTCAGATTAAAAATTTTCTTCTATAGGTAGCTTAAAATTGTTTTTAATTTACCCATAGAAAAGGAAAACTAAAATTCGCTTCCTCAATTTGTGCAAAATCTAGCTATTAGAAGGAATTGGAATCTAGGCTAGATAATCACTCTAAGCTGTTGAGAAAAGAATTAGGGTAGATGAGTAAAATCATCTCTTTTGAAGAGTATTGAATGCTTGTGAATAAGTAGTTTTATAGTATACATTATTTGGAGGTCTTTATTCTTTTTAAAAAGCATGCATAATATTTGACATGTTGGACCAGCCTGAAGGTGCCTACAAAAGCTTATGGCATATACCTGAAGATGTTTTTAAAAGCATGAAACTGAAAATATAAGCTTGAAATTGCTTATTAAAAGCTTGTTTGAACACTTTACTGTCTAAAGGCATGTTTCCAAAAACAGTTTTTAGAAAAAGTCAAATATTTGGCATAGGCTAAATTTTAATTTTTTATGCTTTAAACCAAGACTTTTGGTGCCGTGGTTCTATGAGAATTTGAATATTGTCATATATATATGTTTATACGTGCGTGCTACCTCCTTGCAGGTTGGCCAAGAACAATTCTCCCCCAGTTCACCTGGTTGGCCACCTTTCATGAGAGTCAATCCCATTTTAGATTGGTCATACAGGTTTTGCTCCTATGTTATATGTTGGTTCTATTTCTTTGTTTTTTCAAACTCTCATCTGGATGAGTAAACAAATAACGATCTGGAAAAAAATCTCTCTTCACCATATTAGTTATTGGCACTCACTTGTCTGAAAGCCTTTTCATTTGATAATGTTAATTGCTTCATTTAGTTATCATTTTTACTTGCTTATATTTCTTGGCAGAGATGTCTGGGCCTTCCTTTTAACTTGCAAAGTGAAGTATTGCAGCCTTTATGATCAAGGGTAATACTCGATAGATATTCGCGCTTTATCTTATTATTGGATTTTAATAATACACATGCCATATTTTCCCTTTTCGCTTTACTTCACCCCAAATAGGGAATTATGTGAGAATGATTGGTCCAAGGTCTCATAAATTTGCTTTGTCATCTTATTTGAATGAAATAAATAAACTCCACTTAATATCCCCTAGCAGTTTCGTCTATGTAGCATTTACTAATCGTACCATTATTTTTGATCTTACGTTCCAGTTGTTTGTGTTTATTCAAAGAGTTTCAGTGTGCAATTATGACTTTATGATCTTGTACAGATATACTTCAATTGGAAGCATATATGACACAGTTCCCAATTCCTTACTATCCATCATTAATTCTTCCAATAAATTCAAACCAGCATATTTACTTTCTGATGGAAGATTAGAGAGGGCAGGGAGGGTTAAAAGGAAATCTTCTGCTGGTGGACAACTTACTGCTGATAGCAATGGCTTGGATGTGCATAAAAACAGCACACTCACAGCATCAATCATTGCTGTGGGAGATGAGATTCTGTAAGTACCAGAATATCACATGGATAATTGGATTATGTTGAATCTTTTGGAAACTATATGCTCTTATTTATTGTCCTGCAGCTGTTCTTTTAATGTTCTATTATTCTTTACCCTGCTTCATAGCTCAGGTTTGGCATTGTTGAGGATCAGTTGGGACCCTATTTATGTAGGAAGCTGGGTTCCGTTGGTTGGTCTGTGTTGCAATGTTCTGTAGTTCACAATAATGTGAGTTCACATTTATAGAAGTCCTACCTCTGCATTTATGAATGGTTTTGCTTTGCAGAAATAAAAAGTTGGTTTTATTAATGAGTCTATGGATAACGGACCATATGCAAACTGCAATAGAAGCATTATTCACGTAATACTTTAATTTTCATTTTTATGGACATGTTTTGTACAGATAGATTCTGTGGCAGAAGAAGTTGAGCAACAGAAATCTAGGACTGATCTGGTAATATACAAATGCTTAGAAAGTTTTGACGTTTCTTGAAATTCAAATGATGGTTCACATTATTCATCTGTCCTGCTTGTAGGTATTTATATATGGAGGTGTAGGTCCACTGCATTCAGATGTTACCTTAGCCGGCATTGCAAAAGCTTTTGATGTTCGTTTGGTGCGTTCCTTTCTTCAATTGTTATTGTTAATTTTTGCAATCTGAGTCTACTTTGATCATTCCTTAAATATGCTTTTGATTCTAGTTAACATAGCATCCTTCAAAGATAAAGTTTGACTTTAGTGTCAAGCTTTCCACTGACTTGATTGACCTTTTATCTTGGTGGCTAACCTTTTATCTTCAGTTGCTTTTGATTTACCATTGCAACTCTTTACGTGCGGTGATTGTTTTTATTTTTCATTTTTATGTAGGCTCCTGATGAAGAATTTGAAGAATATCTACGGCATATTATTGGTGATCAGTGTATTGGCGATAGGAATGAGGTAAAGCAATGTTTTTTATTTGTTTTAGGAATTTCAATGATGTATCTTTTGCGTCCTTTGGGTTTGTGACTGTGGGTATTGAGGCCGTCTCTGTCTGGGAGTTCTTTCTATTGGCTTAAACTCCTCACATTTTACAGGCTTCTCAATAGGTAGTTGTTGTCACAACAACAACAGCCAGCATTGCCCCACAAGGTGGGGTCGGCTACATGGATCAAACGACAACATAGTGTTCTATCATAAGTCATGTCTATATGTAAACTGTTGGCTTCTAAATCTCTCGATAGTTTTTTCTTTAGTTTTTTTTTGGTCCTTCCTTGTCTCTAGTGACTGAGATTCCCCCCGTTTGGTCTACTCTATATAGTGCTAAATTTACAAACTACCTCCACTCATGCCCAATTCACATCAGTTGAAACTCAACCATCTTTTCTACACTAGGAGCTACTCCAACTCTCTTTCTATTGTCATCATTGCTAATTCTATTCTATCTCGCCTAATACAATGCCGGTTTACCACATTGAGTATTTTCTCATGCTTCCTTTTTATTGTCCAGTACTCCTTCCTATATAACATATTCGGTCTTATAATTGTATGATAAAATTTTCCCTTTAGACCGAGTAGTGTCTTTTAATTGTCACAAAAAACCTGATGCTCTCGTCCATTTCAACCACGTCACTTAAATTTGACGGTTTAATCTCCCTCTATATTTTGTCATTTGGCACAATGAACTGAAGAAATTTAAACTGTATGGCTTATGGCCTCCAACTTTCACCTATAATCTAGATGCATATCTTGTTTTACTAAAATTACTTTAGAGATACAGTATATTTTCAAATCAGGACCAAGTAACACTTTGATTGAAGCATTGGCTTCTATTTGAGTAGAAGTAAGTCGATGTGTATAAAATTATAATTTGTTTTGCCTTTCATTTTTCAGATGGCTCAATTGCCCGAGGGCATAACTGAATTACTTCATCATGACAATTTGGCTGTACCCTTGGTATGTGTTTAGAAGTTCGTTAATGAAAACTTTTTCAGTTTCTTGTTATTCATCGGAAGTTCTGTTTTACATTAAGCTTATAAAAGTGTATTTGTTTATTTATTTCCGGTGATGAACTCCTATTTTTATATAATGAAATAGTTGAAGTAATACAACCTGTTTGAGATATTGTCTTTTTCTTGCAGATGAAGTGCCAAAATGTAATAATTCTTAATGCAACAAATGTTTCGGAGATGGAAAAGCAATGGGATTGTTTGGTTGAATTAACAAAGTCTAGTGACCTACTAACATTGCTGGAGCCATTCATATCAAAGCACATGACAACTAATTTATCTGATGTATGTGTTAACTTTCATATATTATGATACATCTGGCAGGACCCATTCCCTTGGCTTGAAGGCAGTGCTTTTAGAGGCAGATGGCGGATTATGGTTTCAGCCAAAATCTTCCATATAAACATGGCTCTGTGGCCAGTCACGGAAACATGACATATATAATAGGTGTTGCTGTTGCAGCCTATGGCGGCTGGCACAAAATCCGCCATGTACATTGGAAATGATGCCTGCCTTTGCCTATTTTTCCCTTTAGGATGCACGTTCTGTTAGCTTTATTAATTTGAAACTTCAATTTGGGTAGATCAGGAAGTGCAAATGATATTTATGGTCGTCAATATTTGTTTTTCACTTAAAAATATTTTCAGTGGTATCGGCATAATTCAATTTATTTTAATAAATATGCAACATCTATGGTTTTGTGCTTTGTCTTTATTTAAGTTTTATTCCTTACGGACCCGACTGATCTCCATTGGGATATCTAAACTGCAGGTTGAAGTTGCTCAACCTCTGTCAAAGCTTTGTCTTGAATTCCCAGACCTTTATATTGGTATGAAGTTTATGAACTGTCACGATGGTTTTACAATGTATGATTCATCATCCATCTATTTTAAAAATATTTTTCTTTGAAACATCTAGGATGTTACCGCAAAGCCAGATATGGATCTCTCATAATAAGTTTCAAAGGAAAGGTACAATGAAACTTCAACATTTCTATAGTCTTTGTTTTTAAAATATGTAATGTAAGTTTCTCTGCTAAGCCGTTCTGATGTTGTTACAGGACCAAGCACGTCTTGAATTAGCTAGAAAAGCGTTACAGAATAAGTTTAAATCTGGTGCATTCTTGGAGATAAAGAAGGATGATTGATATCTGCGTGCAGGGATCGATCATTATCATGTTATCGATAAATATATGATGCAAAATGGGCAATGAAGAAAATCAAGGGGACTGCTATCATTGTAAAAGGAGGAACAATGGCTCTGACAAGTGGCTGAAGCTTCAATTTTCACAACAGTTTTCTCTCCTTCAGGGAGCTTGATTACTATTGAATGATGATTATTTTTCTCAATTTACAACAGTTTTATCTCCTTTTATTGAATAATGATTATTTTGGAAATTTACAGTACAAGTTTACAAATATACATTATTTGTTATCAACGTTTTATTCAAAAATTTTCATGATTGATCTAGAGAGGAGATTTGTTTTCACTTGTTTTATTTTATTTCTATTCTCGTGTTCATCCTATCCTCCATTGTTTTTGTCATCTGGTTCCATTTGTCACTATTGCCACACATTTGAAAACTAGTCCTTACTCATAGTACCATTCGTCACTGTTGCCATACATTTGAAAACTAGTCAAATAGGTCCATGAATGGTATTGCTACATCATAAAATCTGTTGTGTACACAAAAATTGTGGTATTTAATCAAGACTCTTGTAAAAGTCATATAAATTGTGATATTCAATTGAGACAATCACAATTTATTTTGAGACATTGAAAATCCGTTCCAACTTAGACAAACTCCAGCGTTGGTTTTTCACTCAAGTTCGTTAGGCTGGCGTATTATACATGCATTAAATATTATACATGCATTAAATATTACTGAAATTATTTCTAAGTGGCGGATGTTGCATTAAATATTACACATTTGTTAACGACTACTTTACATTAAATAATATATTAAAATATAACAAATATAATAAAATTAGCCGTTTCAACGCTACTTATTTTTTTATTTTATTTTTTTAAACTTATTTTTTATTATAAATATAATTTTGGTTTCCAAAAATTTACCAACACAAATTTCTCTCACTTTTATTTTCTCTTCAATTTGAAATTTCTCTCCCACAATTTCATCATTTATTCCTATACTTTTAATTTTTTTTTCAACAATTTTTTCTCATTAGCATTTTTTTTTACAAAATATTTAACTCAAAATTTCATCTTTTTACTTCAAATTAAAATTGTTTTGGCCAAATGGATCCTAATCATTTTCATTATCAACAAACTTTTTTCAATTACATGCAAAATTCTCAAAATCCTAATCCTCAAAATTCTCAAATTCCACTGGTGCCAACAAACTCCGCCATATTTCTTCCGTCACCAAACAATCCAAATATGTATCCTATACCTCAAATGAATTCTAATAGTATAGAATTCTCTACTCAAATTCCACCATTTTCTACTCAAGTCCCACCATTTTCTACTCAAGTTGGTACTGAAAAAGAAGAAAGGGTTGTTGTTAAAAAAAGATCTCGAGAACAATTTACAAGGGAAGAGGATATACTACTTATCCAATCATGGCTCAATGTTTCAAAGGATTCAATTGTGGGAGTTGATCAAAAGGCTGAGAGTTTTTGGTTAAGAATTGTTGCTAGTTATAACCAATATCGTGGGCAATTGCGGGAAAAGTTAAGGGGACAGTTAAAATGTCGATGACATAGAATAAATGACATGGTTCAAAAATTTGTTGGGTGTTACAAAATTGCTCTTAAAGGAAAGAAAAGTGGGACATCTGAGACCGATGTCATGGCAGATGCACATGCTATTTTTGCTCAGGATCAAGGTAGAACATTCAATCTTGAGTATGCATGGCGATTGTTAAAAGATGAAGTTAAATGGCGCATCGTCGAAGAATCGATTGGAAGTTCTGCAAAAATAACAAAGACTTATGCTAGTGGGGCATCATCGGAGAATCCAGATACAACTTCAAATTATGAGTTTAACTCATCATCACCAATGGAGCGTCCAATGGGACAAAAAGCAACAAAAAGGAAGGGTAAGGCATCAGAAATTCCAAATGCAACACAAGATGCAAAGAATAAAAGAGCAATAACAATGGACAGACTTGCGCAAGCTAAGGAGGACGAGCTAGAATTAAGGGTAGTGCAAATGATGATGAAAGACACTTCTACTATAATGAGATATTCATGAAAAATATTGTAATAAGATGAAAAAAAAAATGGAATGTAGTTAGTATCACTTATGTAAAATGGTCATTAATACCACTTTAATTTATCAACACCTATGTAAAATGGTCATTAGTACCACTTTAATTTATCAACACATGTAAAATGGTCATTAATACCACTTTAATTTAAACTAGCCGTTATTCAAACTAGCCGTTGTTCAAACTAACCGTTATATATACTACCACTTATGTCATTGTTCTCTCATTCTCATCTTATTCTTCTCATTTTTCTCTCATTCTTTACTCATTAAATGGATTTAGACAATTCAGATACTTACGATCAAGAATTTTGAGAGTTGGTTGAAGAAGAATTTATGGACGACAGTGATGAAGAACAACAACTTCAAAATGAACGTGGATCTGGAAGTTCCTCTAGGGCAAAGAGAAGAACAACGATAGATCGAGGTCGTGAAGAAGGGCACAATCGATTATTCAATGACTACTTCTTGAAAAATCCAGTATACATAGATGTTCAATTTCGAAGAAGGTTCAGAATGCATAGGCATGTATTTATTCGAATTGTAGATGCCCTTGGAAATCATGATGAATATTTCCAAATGAGGGTCGATGCAACATGTAAAATGGGTCTTTCACCATTGCAGAAATGAGAGGTCAATGTAATCATTAGCGGTCCTCATCCGAATCTTGCAACAAGACTACAAAGAAGAGCAAGTATTCAAGAAAAACAAGTTCATCGTAAACTTCAAGGAGATCTAGTCGAATATATTTGGGAACGTTTTGGACATGAAGATGATGAAATTTAAGTTTGATTAATTATGTGATGTTATTTATTTTTATTGTTTTTAATTATATATCATGTATTTGAGATTAATTTTAATTATCATTTTAAGTTATAAGTTTAATTTAATTTTTTTATATTTTATATCAAATTTAATTTAAAGCACTAAAATTAATTAAGGAGAGATTGAAATATTTTTTAAGTTTATATAGTAAAAAATTAAAATTATTATTTTAAGTGATATAAAATTTAATATGAATAAAATATTAATATATAAAGTAAAGTTGTGGGACTCAATATGAGTTCTTCATAGTTGCATCATTGGAGTGAAAAATTAGTTAAGTTGTTTTAAGCTGACGTGGCTTAATAGGTCCCACAAAAAACTGAAAAATAGGTTTACGGTTGGAGATGCTCTGGCCAACTCCAATGGGAGCTCTTAAAGTGGGTTTGCCAACATGACACTCATATTTGTTGTTTTCAAGATTGCCATGCTGTTCAACGGTTCTTCAACGGTTCTTATATTAAAATATTGATTTTATAATATGAAAACTATAATTTAATATAAAATTTTATTTATCATTTTAATTATCATATAAAAACTATAATTGCAATAATAAAATATTGATTTTATAATATAAAAACTATATTTTAATTATAAGTTTAAATTATAAGTTTAATTTAAATTTTATTTATTTTATTTTTATTTATTTTAAATTATAATTATAATTTCAATTTTTTTTTAATTTTATATCAAATTTAATTTAAAACACTAAAATTAACTAAGGAGAGATTGAAATATTTTTTTAAGTTTAATCTAATTTATTTTAAGTTTATATAATAGAATGAAATATTTTTTCTTAAAATAACACTATATACCCGTTGGGCTATATAGTAGACTGAAATAATTTTTTGTAAAAAATTAAAATTATTATTTTAAGTGATATAAAATTTAATATGAATAAAATATTAATATATAAAGTAAAGTTATGGAATCCAATATGAGTTCTTCAGAGTTGCACAATTGAAGTGAAAAATTAGTTGAATTGCTTCATACTGACATGGTTTAATAGATTCCACAAAGAACCCAAAAATGAGTTCACGTTGGAGATGCTAGATTTCTCATAATTTTAAAAAAGGCTACTGATATTCAAAAGTCTAGAAATTTAAATGGAGTTTTATAATGGATTTTGAGTCTAAAAATACATGTCAACCATCTCACACGTGATATTTTTTCAAACTCATATTTATTATAACACTTTTGATTTGATCTAATATTTCTAACATAATTTTTTTAATTGATATTGTGTTATGTATTTTTATATTATTAATATTGATATTTTATAAGTGAATATAATTTTTTGTAGGTGCTTTTTGTTAATTTTTTAACTTGAATTATTCACTAATACTTTTGATGATTAAAAAATAATAATTTTTCTTTTGAAAAAGAATTATTAAATCTATTACACATTTTTATTCAGTCTCATAATATAATACGAGATCGAGAGGTTGGTTCACAATATTTAAATTAGCTCTTCCATTTTATTTAAAACAGAAATAACATTTAGATGAATTTCAAATTAAACCTATTAAAAAATCATTATTGTCAATTAAAGAATCATTATTGTCATTATTCTTGTTGAACTTTATATGTGCTTTTATTGAATTCGTGGGTGTCCTGCTATTAGTAGGTTAGACAAAGATGTATGATTTTTTTTTGAGTGTAGAGGGCAGGAGTGTTAGAATGATAAAACAAATATGTTAATACTATTTTATAATTGACTTAATTGTAGTTTTAGTCTCTCTATTATTTAATTTTTTCAGTTTTGGTCTTTTCATTTTCAAATTTAGGTTTTTAGTCTTTTAAGTTTGATTTTATCAGGATTTTAGTCCCCCCACACAGTATGAGACCAATTTTTAATGACATGACACTGAGATATGCCTACATGTCAATGTCAAGTCAATAATTGAGATGTTTTAATATTTTAATTTATTTTTATTATTTTACATTTATCTTATTTATATTTATAACATGTTTAATAATCTGGAAAAACCTTAAATTATCTTCTTGTTCCATCTTTCAAAGTTAACGCCTCATTCACCAGGCCACACCACTGCTCTTCAAGTGCGCCCACTCAACCAATGCCATTAATTTTTGTTCTTATTCGAGTTCTTCATCTTCAAGTGTTATTTTCTTGTTGTATCTTCTTCTCAAACAAGTTTCTTGTTCTTCTTGTATCTGCTTCGAGTTCTTCTCAAACAATGTCTGAAACAAGCTTCTCCTTTGTCTCAACAAATCAGTTTGGTCTAAGAAGAAGAGGAAATAAATGTTGGTGTGTTATTGAGTCACCATTGATGACAACATGGACTTATGAGAATCCTGGAAGAAGATTTCTTGGTTGTGGTAATTATAAGGTGACGAGGAAATAAATGTTGGTGTGGTATTGAGTCACCATTGATGACAACATGGATTTATAAGAATCTTGGAAGAAGATTTCTTAGGTGTGGTAATTATAAGGTGATGAGGAGAAAATGATGTAATTATTTTGAATGGGTTGATGAAGAGATAAGCAACCATGCAAAAGATGTGATTAGATCTTTGAAAAATAAGAATGACGAGGTTATGGATTTAATTAGGCAAAGAAAAATGAAGATTTGTTGAAGATGAAGATATAGTTTATGGGTTATTTGTTGGCTTTGACTATTGTGTATGTATTGTTACGTGTGTTTACATTAGTTGCAACACATGTATTCAAATAATTATGTGTAAAATATATGTTTAAGTGTAATTGGGGGACTAAAACTACAATTAAGCCTAGAATTAAGTTGACCAGGCTCAATACCATAAGTATAACATCAAGGACAATGGTGATAACACACATAGGAGGCAGAAATAAATACTCATAATATTTCATGGCTAGGTCGAGTATACGACATGCTATGATACCAATTGTAACACCTATATATAATACATGTCTAGAATTACATATTATACATAGCTGTAATATTGGTACTGAAACATATAAGCGCCTAGTGACAACATTGTACATATTACATGTCCAAAAGAAACTACAACAATGACACAATATATACAAGATGCCCAAAAATAAACTAAGAACTAGATCATTGTAGAATGATCTCAAAATATCCATCTGCACAACGGAAAGCCATCCCAAAATGTAAAGCTAGTAAGGACATCAAGTCAACTTGTCCTTACCCTTTGACTGCTCCAAACTACTTGAAAATAATCAAAAAATATTGAGTGAGATAATAATACCAGAGGGTTCCCAATCTTACGGGTTCATTCGGATCTACAAGGTTCTAATCTTCATCCTAACTCAAGTCAAAAGAGGAAGAAGGACTTGAGTTTGCAAAACCTGCAATGTATGGAAACACGTGACTTAAGTTCATAAACTCTAACAATCACTAATCGGAAACCAATTCAAGGTATCTTTCCCTGGAAAGCCCTACGTCTAGGGTTACCGACTCATATCATAGATCCTTATCTCATACTTTGACATACACATGGGTTTTAGATTCTAAGGGACTCCTCAACCTTAAGAATCGTCACTTTCTATGGGACTCCAAACCCATTTCAAGCCTTTCATCTGTATGGGACTCTAACTCACTTAAGGTTCCACTGTTTCCTTGGGATTCAATCTAAGTCAAAGTAATGATGCGTACATCCCAATTCTTACTCTAAGTAAGCATCACAACTTGGGACGAAACAATCAGGTGTTGTTTTCGACTACATGATTAAAGATAACATAACATGATTATATTTGACAATCACAAGATGGCCATGTTCACCTCAATCACACAACAACCATACATGTTACATACAAAGCATCTCTTCCTCAACTATGACGATCATCCATCTATGATACTTATATAGGTACCATATTGAATACACCTTACCGTCCAACATTATCTAAGTCATACTTGTAGCCTAAGTTATCTTTCCAATCCACTTACCTAGTTATAAGCCTAGGTTTTCTCACTAATATTCGTAAGGTTTTTAAACATGTTATTTCACAATTAACACAACAATAATGATTAGCTTACCTTATAACATGATTCATAGCATTCATAAGTCACATAATGTAATATAGCATGATATATATCATTTTTGTACAATTTTACAGGTTTCATAGCCTGTTAGAAGCATTGGATACTTAAAAGCATATAGCAGGAACCTAAAGTCACATTGGGAAGATTTTGTGTTTT